GAAGAGCGTGGTGGGGGCAAGAGGCGTGGAGTCACCATACAGACCCCAGGAGTTGGGTGAAAGCAGGCCTGAGGCAAGCAGCCTGCAGACTCGTTTATTTCAGTTGCTACAGCAGCTTATATAGCCAAGGCAGCCAATCCAGTCAAGGGGCAGTCTGTGCCCTAACCAATCACAACCTGTTGCCAGGCAGGCTCCATTGTCATGTGGTTTTCGAAGCCATCCAATCACAGTCTGTTGTCAGTCAGGCTCTGTTGTCATGTGGTTTCCGAAACCATCCAATCACAGCCTGTTTCCAGGCAGTTTCTGTTGCCAGCAGCCATCTTGGCATGGCCTTCTCATTCCACCACAAGGAAGCATAAGCTATTTTGTATTATTATATTGTATATATTGTATACATACATATATATATATATATATACAAGTATATATTATATTGTATATATTGTATATTGTATTATTATTATAAGCTTTTTGTATTATTGGTGTGCTTCCTGGCATAAGATAGAAAGAAGCCTTCTTATCTCTTAGTAATTAGTATGTTGAGTGAGAGTCAGTAAAATCAAGAATCACATAAAGTATACTTAAAAAGATTTCGCTTTGAGTTAATATAATGACATTTATTCTTTTACTTTTTGATACAATGCCAAGCTCTTTCTTTGAGTAAGGAATTCTGCTAATTATAGTTCTTTGTTGTCCACATGTAAACCATATGGATATAATATATTTATAATTTCTAGTTTCCTTTTTTTTTTTTTTTTACCAAGAGCAAGAACTTAAAGATCCTTTTTATCTCCTTTTAATCCTTTTTGGTTTTATAATTTTTCTGACTTCTTATAATTATCTTTACTTACCTTTAATTCAACAGTGGTTACTTAACAACTCATCTTTATTGGACCTTTCACATTCAGTTTAGGTTTTACAGGGAAATTAATTCTTCTGTGGTCTTATTTTTCACTTTGGCTTATATTTAATTAAATTGTGAGATTATAATAACAGGTTTTGACTGAAATGGTAAATTGCTTAACATCTGTTGCAATCTCCTTTTTGTAACACTTTCTGTACTACAGAGGCTGAAAAATGAAAAATCAGTTCAGGATATAACTTAGGGTCTGCTGATGGAAGAACTTGTTTGAGACCTGAATCAGAAAATATCTAGATGGAAAGGTAGTACCTTTGACATCTTTTTTTGTGGATGAGAATCAAACCAGTGTGGTATGGCTCTAGATTCAACAATTCTGGCAGCCACTCCTTTCACAGAATTTGCACCAAATCTTACAGATCAACTAATTGATGTGTGGTACTGTTAGTATTATTAATAATAAGGATAATTCTGTTTGCCCCTAGAAATCTTTTTTTTAATGTTTGGATTTTCTTTTATTTTTAAACTTTTATTTAATAAGTATAAATTTCCAAAGTACAGCTTATGGATTACAATGGCTCCCCCCCCATAACTTCCCTCCCACCAGCAACCCTTCCCTCTCCCATTTCCTCTCCCATTCCATTCACATCAAGATTCATTTTCAATTCTCTTTATATACAGAAGATCAATATAGCATATATTAAGTAAAGATTTCAACAGTTGCACCCACACAGAAACACAAAGTGTAAAGTACTGTTTGAGTACTAGTTAATAGCATTAATTCACAATGTACAACACATTAAGGATAGAGATCCTGCATGAGGAGTAAGTGCACAATGACTCCTGTTGTTGACTTAACAAATTGACACTCTTGTTTATGGCGTTAGTAATCACCCTAGGCTCTTGTCATGAGTTGCCAAGGCTATGGAGCCCCTAGAAATCTTGATAGGATTTTTCCTTTTACTATCAAGCCAAGCAAATAGAACTTTCTCCTTTTTGTTTTCTTGTGGCTCTTACATTTTGACTTGCTGTTATGTATTTGAATAACTATATATACTATCTCTGCATGTATTTATTGAACTTAAATGATTGATGTCTAATTTTTTAAGATTGTTTAATCATTCATAGAAAATAATGCTTTAAACATAAGGAATTCCTCATACCTTTATGGTACTTAAATGTTTTTCTTAATTATACTACTATGAGGATATTTCAAAGAGTTTGTAGAAAATATACATTCTCTCTTTTTTTAATTTTATTTATTTATTTGAAAGGCAGAGTTAGAGAGAGAGAGAGAGAAGGAGAGAGAGAGGCAAAGAAATATATGTAGCTTCCATCTGCTGGTTCACTCTCCATATGGCCACAAAGGGCCGAGTTGGGTAGATCCAAAGCTAGGAGCCAGGAACTTCTTCTGGGTCTGCCACATGGGAACAAGGGCCCAAATGCTTGTGCCATCTACCTCTGCTTTTCTAGGCTTATTGGCAGGGAGCTCAGTCAGAAGTGGAACAGCTGGGACTCAAACTGTTCCCGTATGGGATGCCAGTGCCTCGAGTACCTACTGTGCCACAGCACTGGCCCACATATTTCTATTTTAGTTAGAGTTTTCCATGAACTTCTTGAAATACTCTTGTAGTATCTTTGGAGAATCAGATAAAAGATAAAGTGCAATCAGAAGTTTCAGTGTATGTATGTGTATGTGTGTGTGTTTCTGTTTATACACACTCATGTATGAAGTGTCATGGAAGATACATATTATATTATATTCTTTAAAATGCATATGTTTATTTATTTGACAGAATAAACAAGGGAGGGAGAGAGAGGGAAAGAGACAGAGATTGATCCTCCATCCGTTGGTTCACTCCCAAATGGCTACAGTGACTGAGATTTATCCAGGCCAAAACCAGGAATCCAGAGCTTCATCTGCGTCTCCCAAGTGGGTGTTGGGACCCAGGCATTTAGGCCATATTTTCTGCTGCCTTCCCCGTCATGTGAGCAGGAAGCTGGATTGGACTGAAACTGGTACTCCTCCTCCATTATGAGATATCAGCATCACAAGTAGCATCATAACCTACTGCCTCACAGACCTGGCTCTGCACATTATCTTATTTCCATTTTCCCGTAAACTTTTTGAGGTACTCTTATATTAAACAATAAAAATATATTTTTATTTTTCAAAGACTCATGAAACATTTACACAGATATGGACTGCAAGCATATACACATACAAATTTTGAAAACATATAAATCACACTTGGAATAAAAATCAGAAATTAGAAAACATGGTTACAGAAAAATCTTATTTTTTTAAACTAGAGTCCACAGTTTTCATTAGGATTCACTTTTTGTGCTATACATTCTATGAGTTTGGGCAAATTTACAATGTTATATATTCTCATGACAGTATCATACAGAATAGTTCAAAAAATTTTCTATGCTTTGCCAGTTCATTCCCCCCTCACTCCAACTCCTGCTAGTCACTGCCTTTTTAATTGTCTTCACAGGTTTTTATTTTTATTTTTTTGGAACCAAACATTATGTAGCCTGGCTGCCATCTTTCACTTAGTAGTATATATTTAAGTTTCCTCTTTGTCTTTTGATGGCTTGATACTCCTTTCTTTTTATTATTATTGAATAATGTTTCATTACCAGAAGGATAATGTTTCTTTATCCATTCACGAAGACATCTTGGTTGCTTCTAATTTTTGACAATTGTAAATAAATCTGTTATAAAATTTTCTCATTGGGTGCTTATGTGGACCTACATTTTCAACTCTATTGAGTAACTACTAAGAAGTACAACTGCTGGATCATATAGAAAAAGTATGTTTAGCCTTTTTAAAAAGATTAATTTTATTTATTTAAAGATAGTGGCAGAGAGAGAGAGAGGGAGAAAAACAGGGAAAGAGATCTTCCACTAACTGATTTAACCCCAAATGGCCACAACAGCATTTAGCTTTTTGAGAGACTGCCAGGCTGTCTTCTCAAGTGACTGCACTCCCACCAGCAATGAATGAGAATTCCTATTGCTCCACATCCTTGCTAGTATCTGGTGTTAATAGTGTTCTAGATTTTGGGCATTCTCTGGTGTGCCAGGGAATCTCATTTTCTTGTCATGTAGATTTAGAGTCAGAAAAGTAAGCACTATTCAGTTTGTTCTTTTACTTAATAAAACCACTGTAGAAAATTTATGAAAGAATGCGTAAGTGTGTAAAAACGTTCCTGTGGCCTCCTAAATCGAACACTATTGATTTGTTCTTACATTTCAGTTTTCTGGTAGCATGCTCTGGCTTTATTGGTAACAAATCATAAGCATATTACATACATGCTTTTTTGTGAGATGTGACAAAATAAATAATTCCTTTATCATTAAATGGCCTTCGGAAGTCCTGTTATTAACAGGAACCTGGTATTCTAGGGAATGAAAATGCCATGTAAATTTATCATATTCATTTATGCAGCTCCTCATAATAGATGTGCCTACTATATAAAACAGCTGTCTGCAAACAAGTTGATTTCTGCATTTATTACCACAGAATAGATGTTCAAAATCAAACGGTGTCAGCATTTTTGAATGTGCAATAATTTCTCTTAACTACATTTTTAAATAACTTGAAATAAAAGGCAATTGAAAACTAAAATTAAAAACTAAAAATTTATAGCATATCAAACTATTGAGATACAGCAAAATAGTAGAATATTTTTCTTTTTAAATTAATTGTAAATAAACTATACACTGTTGCTTATAGTATTAACTAAATAACCAGACTTTCTGAGAAAAAATGAAAAATATTTACAAAAATTAATAAAAATCAAATTTGTTAATGGAAATTGGAATCAGTGAGCATTAGAAGGCAAAGATCAAGTAAAGAAAGAAATCCAAAGTTATAACCTGTATTTAAGACTGCTTTCCTTTCTCACTCTCCTGGAAGAGATGATAAGTGGTTGAAAAATGGAGCAGAGCTTAAAACTATTTCATGGGCTAGAAAGATAGAAATTTAAATTCAAGGCCCATCAGACTTGTGGATGGATATCTCAAAAACCTACAATCATTGAGTTAGTCTACCCTAGGAGTAAGAATAAGCTTAAAAATAGAACAATCTTATATATGAAATACATGAAACTTGTATAACTTAAATAAAATTAAAACACTACAATAATTCTAAAAAAGATAAGACATCATTCTGAATTATCTGATTCTTAGATACTGGTATAAGATGATTAAGGATTGTCAGTGACAACAGTCTCCTGGAAAAAGAAAACAAAGATTATTTTAAAAGATGATAACATCATTGAGAGGCCTTAAAACATCACTACTTTTTTTTTTTATCTTTTATTTAATGAATATAAATTTCCAAAGTACGACTCATGGGTTACAATGGCTTTCCCCCCCATACCGTCCCTCCCACCCACAACCCTCCCCTAGCTCAGATAATGCATGAAAAGAACTAGTAATAGGAAGATTGAAGACAGTTTAGTAATGTTAAAAAACACAGGCAGAGTGGACAGTGAGAGAGAGAGACAGAGAGAAAGGTCTTCCTTTGCCGTTGGTTCACCCTTCAATGGCCGCCACGGCCGGCGCACCATGCTGATCTGAAAGCAGGAGCCAGGTGCTTCTCCTGGTCTCCCATGGTGTGCAGGGCCCAAGCACTTGGGCCATCCTCCACTGCACTCCCTGGCCACAGCAGAGAGCTGGCCTGGAAGAGGGGCAACCAGGACAGAATCCGGCGCCCCGACCAGGACTAGAACCCGGTGTGCCAAAAAAAAAAAAAAAAAAAAAAAAAAGAAATAATAGGCAGCAGAAGTATCTGCAGTTTTGGTCTTTAAAAATAAGATAAAAGGTTCAACAAAATATGATGTAATATTGAGAATTTTCATAAGAGAATTAGAAAGTTGGAAAAAGCATGATAGATGTTCTAGAAATGAAAAAATAAAATAATAGAAATGAAAAATAACTGGAGAGAGTTAACAGTATGCAACTTAATTCAGATGAAGTAGTCTGATTTAATATCAAAATGAAGAAATACTGAGGGTGAAGGTCAGAGAAAGGGATAAAAATATAGAAAATAGTGAAAAGAGCAAAGGTTCATATAATCTGGATCTTAGCAAAAAAGAAAGAGAATAAGACAGAAGTCATATTTGAAGACCTAGTAGCTAGGAGTTCCTCAAAACTGGCAAAAGAGCCACACCTTAAAGAAACACTGTACATCATATGGAGGATGATACCAAAGTATCATAGTTAAGTGTATCAACTTAAAAATAAAGAAAAAGAAAAATATTCAAAACAATATTTTCAAAGGAATAGCAGTAAAATTACTATTCTCAACAGAAATGATGGCAATCTGGACACAATGGAGTATCTTTGAAGTGCTGAAATAAAAAAATATCTATTTAAAATCCAGTACCCAGTGAAATATCCTTATATAAGCAAGGTCAAATAAGTACACTCTCAGATGAAAAGAAACAGAAAATTGTTGTTGGAAGAATTAATGCAAATGTCCCTAAATATGTATAGAGAATTAAAATAAAAGCCATCAGTTTAGAGCAATGCAAATTATATTGAAAACCTTCAGGCTCTAGCATTAAATACAAAGAATATTAATTAATATTAGAGTTTGGTCATTCAAAGATACATGTTATAATCTCTGGAGTAGACACTAAAAGTAAACCAAAAGGCTATTCTACTGCCAAGCCAGTGGGTGAAATGAAATAAGCTAGGCATAGAAGGAAAAGTATTACATGATCTCACTCAATATGGAATCTGAAACAGTTGATCTCATAGAAATTGAGAGTAGAATGCTAGTTACCAGTGGCTGGGGAGAGTAATGGGTAAGGAGGGCTGGGGAAAGGTTGATTAATATACAACTGATTACAGTTAGATGGGAGAAAGAAGTTCTGGTGTTCTGTTGCACGATAGGGTGATTATAGATAGTGATAACATACTGTATATTTTTCTTTTTTAAAAGCTAGAAGAAAAGATTAAGTTTTCATTATGATGAAATATGTAATATTTGAGGAGATAATTATGTTTACCCTAATTTGACTGTTATATAATTTATACATGTATTGCAGTATCATGTGAGGTACCTCATGAACATGTGTACTTTTTATATATCAGTTAAAAATAAAATAAAATTGGAAAAATTAAAGCATAAAAAGTAATCCAAAGGAGGAAACCAAAAAAATTTTTTAAAATTGAGGGCAAACCCCAGAGGCATAGGTAATCAAAGCCAAAATTGACAAATAGGATTACATCAAATTTAGAAACTTATATACTGCAAAATAAGTAATCAGCAAAGTAAAGAGGCAGCCAACAGAATGCGAGAAAATATTTGCGAGCTGTACTGATAAAGGATTGATAACCAGAATATATAAAGATATCAAGAAACTCAACAACAAATAACAAACAACCAAGTTAAGAAATGGGCCAAGGACTTAAATTGACATTTTTCTTTTTCTTTGAAAGAAAAAGAAACTTTATTGATAAAGTTGACAAGCAGGGTGGCCAGTGAGAGAGAGAGAGAGAAAGGTCTTCCTTTTGCCATTGGTTCACCCTCCAATGGCCGCCGCGGCCGGCGCACCGCGCTGATCCGATGGCAGGAGCCAGGAGCCAGGTGCTTTTCCTGGTCTCCCCTGGGGTGCAGGGCCCAAGCACCTGGGCCATCCTCCACTGCACTCCCTGGCCACAGCAGAGAGCTGGCCTGGAAGAGGGGCAACCGGGACAGAATCCGGCGCCCCGACCGGGACTAGAACCCGGTGTGCCAGCGCCGCTAGGCGGAGGATTAGCCTAGTGAGCCGCGGCGCCGGCCTAAATTGACATTTTTCAAAAGAGGAAATCCAAATGGCCAACAGACAGATGAAAAAATGCTCAGGATTGCTAGCCATCAGATAAATGCAAATCAGAGCCACAATGAGGTTTTACCTCACCCCAGCTACAATGGCTTTCATACAGAATCAACAAATTCTGGAGAGGATGTAGAGAAAAAGGTACCCTTGTCCACTGTCAGCAGAAATGTAAACTGATAAAATCACTATGGAAAACAGTATGGAGATATGTCGGAAATCTGAATATAGACTTACCATATGACCCAGGCATCCCATCCTGGAAATTTACCTATGGGAAATGAAATCAGCATATAAAAGGGCTATCTGTACCTCCATGTTTATTACAGCTCAGTTTACAATAGCAAAAACATGGAATATATCCAGATGTCCATCAACTGAAGACTGGCTAAAAAAATTATGGTCTATGTACACCATAGAATACTACACAGAAGTAAAAAACAAACACAAAAACAAAAACCCAAAACAACGAAATCCAATCATTTGTAGCAAAATGGATGACACTGGAAAACATCATACTTAAATAAATAAGCCAGTCCCAAAGGGACAAATACTATATGTTCTCCATGAACTGTGATAACTAATAGAGCACCTAACAGGCAACCTGTAGAAGTGAAATTGACACCTTTAGGAGCAATGACTTTGAATAGCCCTTGCCTTGACTGTTGAACAGTTTTTTTAATTTTTTTTTTCTTATATTTTACTTTTTTTCTTTCTTACTACTCGTTGAACTCTTTACTCAACATAGAGTTAACCAAATGTGTATAAAGTTAATTGAAAATAGATATTGGTTAAAAATAAGAGTGAGAAGAAGAGAGAGAAGAATGGGAGGTGGGAGAGTGGGCACAGAGGGAAGAATCACCATGATCCTAAAGTTGTAATTGTGAAATGTATGAAATTTGTAACTGTAAAGCAGTATAGTTCTGCATATATTCCTATGGACTTCCTTCTTAGGATTCAGCTTAAAAACTTGCCATGGGACCCTAAATCCCATTAAGCTGAGTGGTAAAAATAGCATTTTAAATTTTATAGAGACTGGTGCTGGCGCCGGGGCTCACTTGGTTAATCCTCTGCCTGCGGCACTGGAATCCCATATGGGCGCCGGGTTCTAGTCCTGGTTGCTCCTCTTCCAGTCCAGCTCTCTGCTGTGGCCTGGGAAGGCAGTGGAGGATGGCCCAAGTGCCTGGGCCTCTGCAGCCACGTGGGAGACCAGGAGGAAGCACTTGGCTCCTGGCTTCGGATCAACACAGTGCTTGCCGTAGCGGCCATTTGGGGGGTGAACCAACAGAAGGAAGACCTTTCTCTCTCTCTCTCTCTCTCTCTCTCGCTGTCTAACTCTGCCTGTCAAATAAAAAAAAAAATGTTATAGAGACCATATGGCTAGGATTAAGTGTTAAAGTGACCATATAGATAAGATCAAGTGTTAAAATGATCATATAAGTAGGATAAAGTGTCTGATAATAATAATAGATACAGTTAAAAAGGAGTGAATGCTCTAACATGGGAAGCAGTCCACACAGCAGACTCAGAATGAGTCACCTAAAGTAGCACTCTTACCTGAGAGTCAACCCTTACATCACTCTGCACTCTGATCTGGCTGAAAAGCCCAGGGGACCATTTCAGGCATGGAAAGCCAAGACACTGGCAAAAAAAATTTCTATATGAAGGACCTCTGTGGGTGAGACCCCGGTGGAAAAAGCGGCCACCAAAGAAGGAGATACTTTTCTCTGAAGAGAGCAGAGAACTTCCACTTTGCCTATGGCCTTGTCGAGATACCAAAGGAGTTTGTGGATCCAGAAGGCTTCATAGCCTTGGCAGTTGATGTCAAGAGCCCCAGGTGATTACTGCAGTCATACAGAAGAGTGTTAATTGTTAGATAAACAACAGGAGTCACTGTGCACTAACTTCCCATGCAGGACCTCTTTCCTGAAAGAGTTGTATTAGTAAAACTTGTTCTCAAATAATTACTTCATTTTAGTTTATTAAGGGGAGGTTATCCTTAAGTCTCATAAGTTATAGTCACATCTAATTGCTTGCAAAAGATGTATCATTCGTGAGTTCTTCTTTAAAGATAATTAAGTTTCTAAAAAAACCCTGAAATTACCTTCTAGATGCAGTGATTTGAACAGCCCTTATCTAGTCTGTTGAGGAAAAGTTCTTATTTTTATTCTGCTTTATGTTACTTGTTTTTTGCAGTTTTTTTTTTCTTCTTTTTCTTTCTTTTTCTTTCTCTTCCTCATACAAAGTGTTGAACTCTTAGAGTTAATCTTCTGTGTATAAAGTTAAGTGAAAATAGATCTTAGTAAAAAACAGGACTGGGAGCAGGAGAGGGAAGTGGAGGAGGGGTATTACTGAGAGTGGGAGGACGGGGATGGTGGGATGAATTACTTTGTTCTTAAAGTTGTACTTATGAAATGCATGCAAGTAAACAAACAGAAAGTAAATAAAATTTATTTTTTTAACATTAAATTTGCATTCTTGATTTTATTTTTATTTTTTTTTTAATTTATTTAATGAGCATAAATTTCCGAAGTACAGCTTATGGACCACAATAGCCTCCCCCCCGCACCGTGTCTTCCCTCCCATCCACAACGCTCCCCTCTCCCACTCCCTCTCCCCTTCCCCTTCACATCACAATTAATTTTCAATTATCTTTATATACAGAAGATCAATTTAGCGTATGTTAAGTAAAGATTACCACATTTTGCTCCCACACAGAAACATAAAGTGTAAAATACTATTTGAGTACTAGTTATAGCATTAATTAAACACCTAAGAGTAATTGTGTATTAATTACAGAGCTCAACCAATAGTTTTAAGTAGAATATAAAATGCATCTTTTGCATTGTTGTGGCTTCCCCCCGACCTCCCTCCCTCCCGTGGCCCTCCCCTCACCCACTTCCTCTCCCCTCCCCCCCCCATCACGTTTCATTTTCGGTTACCTTCATATACCGAAGATCAATTTAGTATATACTAAGCAGGGATTTCAACAGGTTGCACTCACACAACCGAACCAGGTATAGGGTATTGTTCGACTAGTAGTGTTGTTTTTGAGTTTCATAGATAAACATATTAAGGACAGAGATCCTGCGAGGGGATCATGAACCCAGTGACTCCCATTGTTGATTTAACAATTGGCACTCTTATTTATGACGTCAGCAATCACCCGAGACTCTTGCTATGAGCTGTCTAGGCTATGGAAGCCCCTTGAGTTCACCAACTCTGAATTTGTTTAGTCAAGGCCATATCACAGTGGAGGTTCCTTCCTCCCTTCAGAGAAAGGCGCCTCTCTCCTTGATGGCCTGATCCTTTTGCTGGAGTGTTGTTCACCAGGATCCTTCATTTAGATTGTTTTTTGCCACCGTGTCATGGCTTTCCATGCCTGCAAGACTCTCATGGACCTTTTAGTCAGATCCGAATGTCCCAAGGGTTGATTCTGAGGCAGGAGTGCTGTTTTGGGCATTTGCCATTCTATGAGTCTGCTGTGTGACCTGCTTCCCCCGCAGGATCATTCTCAACCCTTTTGATTCTATCTTTCATTATTTGCTTACACTGGTCTTATTTGTGTAATCTCTTCGACACTTACCCTATCTTTTGGATCAGTTGTGTATTTATATTTGTCTCTTTACCAAGTGTGCTGGCATTGGTACCTGCCTCCTTGGTAAGACTGAGTTGAAATTCCCTGGCACATTTCCAGTTCCACCATTGGAGGTAGGTCTGAGTGAGTATGTGCCGTCCTATATATCTCCTCCCTCTCTTATTCCCACTCCCATGTTCCACAGAGATCAATTTCCTATTAATTTTTAAACGCTTAAGAATGGTTGTGCATTGATTGCAGAGTTCAACCAGTGGTCTTGTGTAGAGCATACCGAGCAACAACAACAACAACAAAAATACTAAAGGAACAAAATAGTAAGTTTTTCCTCAACAGTCTAGACAAGGGCTGCTCATGTCATTGTCTCTCATAGTGTCCATTTCACTTCAATGGGTATCATTTTAGGTGCTCGTTTAGTTGCCATCAATCAGGGAGAACATTGATATTTATCCCTTTTGGACTGGCTTATTTCATTCAGCATGATGTTTTCCAGCTTCCTCCATTTTGTTGTGAATGCCCAGATTTTGTTGTTTTTTACTGCTGTATAGTGTTCCATAGAGTACATATCCCATAGTTTCTTTATCCAGTCATCTGTTGATGGACATTTAGGTTGATTCCATGTCTTAGCTATTGTGAATTGAGCTGCAACAAATATTGAGGTGCAAATGGCTTTTTTCACCCCTTTAATTCCATTTGGGTATATTCCAAGGAGTGGGATGGCTGGGTCCTGTGGTAGTGCTATGTTCAGGTTTCTGAGGACTCTCCAGACTGTCTTCCATAGTGGCTTTACCAGCTTGCATTCCCACCAACAGTGGATTAGTGTCCCCTTTTCTCCACATCCTCGCCAGCATCTGTTGTTGGTTGATTTCTGTATGTAAGCCAATCTAACTGGAGTGAGGTGGTATCTCATTGTGGTTTTGATCTGCATTTCCCTGATGGCTAGGGATCCTGAGCATTTTTTCATGTGCCTGTTGGCCATTTGGATTTCCTCTTTTGAAAAATGCCTGTTAAGGTCCTTGGCCCATTTTTTTATTGGGTTGTTTGTTTTGATTCTGTGGTGTTTTTTGATCATTGTGTAGATTCTGGTTGTTAATCCTTTATCTGTTGTGTAGTTTGCGAATAACGTCTCCCATTCTGTTGGTTGCCTCTTCGCTTTCCTGACTGTTTCCTTTGCTGTTAAGAAACTCTTCAATTTTAGGTAACCCCATTTGTTTATTTTATCTTTGATTACCCGTGCCTGTGGGGTCTTCTCCAGGAATTCTTCGCCTATTCCGATATCTTGAAGGGTTTCCCCTATGCTCTCAATTAGTTTCATGGTGTCGTGGCGCAACTCTAGTTCTTTGGTCCATGTTGAGTGGATTTTTGTATAAAGTGTAAGGTAGGGGTCTTGCTTCATACTGCGGCATGTGGACATCCAGTTTTCCCAGCACCATTTGTTGAAGAGGCTGTCCTTGTTCCAGGGGTTGGTTTTAGGTCCTTTGTCAAATATGAGTTGGTTATAGATGTTTGGATTGATCTCCGGTGTTTCTATTATGTTCCATTGGTCTATCCATCTGTTTTTGTACCAGTACCAGGCTGTTTTGATTATAACTGCCCTGTAGTATGCTTTGAAGTCTGGAATTGTGATGCCTCTGGCCTTGTTTTTATTGTAAAGGATTGCTTTAGATATTCTGGGTCTCCTGTTTCTCCATATGAATTTCAGCATCGTTTTTTCTAGGTCTTTGAAGAATGACTTTGGTATTTTGATTGGTATTGCATTGAACTTGTAAATTGCTTTTGGGAGAATGGACATTTTGATGATATTGATTCTTCCAATCCATGAGCATGGCAGGTTTTTCCATTTTTTTGTGTCGTCTTCTATTTCTTTCTTTAGTGTTTTGTAATTTTCATCAGAGGTCTTTGACCTCCTTGGTTAAATTTATTCCAAGGTACTTTATTGTTTTTGTGGCTATTGTGAATGGGATTGATCTTAGTAGTTCTTCCTCGGCCCTGGCATTGTCTGTGTATACAAAGGCTGTTGATTTCTGAGCGTTGACTTTGTATCCTGCTACTTTACCAAACTCTTCTATGAGTTTCAGTAGCCTCTTACAGGAGTTTATTGGGTCCTCTATATATAGTATCATGTCATCTGCAAACAGGGATAGTTTGACTTCCTCCTTTCCCATTTGTATCCCTTTAATTTCTTTTTCTTGCCTGATGGCTCTGGCTAAGACTTCTAGAACTGTATTGAATAGCAATGGTGAGAGTGGGCATCCCTGTCTGGTGCCAGTTCTCAATAGAAATGCCTCCAACTTTTCCCCATTCAATATGATGCTGGCCTTTGGTTTATCATAGATTGCCTTAATTGTGTTGAGGAATGTTCCTTCTAACCCCAATTTGCTTAGGGTTTTCATCATGAAGGGGTGTTGTATTTTGTCAGATGCTTTCTCTGCATCTATTGAGATAACCATATGATTTTTGTTTCTCAATTTGTTAATGTGCTGGATTACGTTGATTGACTTTCGAATATTGAACCATCCCTGCATACCAGGGATAAATCCCACTTGGTCCGGGTGAATGATCTTTCTGATGTGTAGTTGGATTCGGTTTGCCAGAATTTTATTGAGTATTTTTGCATCTATGTTCATCAGGGAGATAGGTCTGTAGTTTTCTTTCTCTGCTGTGTCTTTTCCGGGCTTAGGAATTAAGGTGATATTGGCTTTGTAGAAGGAATTTGGGAGGATTCCCTCTCTTTCAATCGTTTGGAATAATTTGAGAAGAACTGGGGTTAGTTGTTCTCTGAATGCCTGGTAAAATTCGGCAGTGAAGCCATCCGGTCCTGGGCTCTTCTTTTTCGGTAGTGCGTTTATTACTGATTCAATTTCTTCCATGGTTATGGGTCTGTTTAGATTTTCTATATCTTCATGGCTCAGTTTAGGAAGGTTGCATTTGTCCAGGAATCTATCCATTTCTTCCAGGTTCCCCAATTTGTTAGCATACATCTCTTTGTAGTAGTTTCTGATGATTCTTTTTATTTCTATTGTGTCAGTTGTTACAGTTCCATTACTATCTTTGATTTTACAGATTTGGGTCTTCTCTCTCCATTTTTTGGTTAGTTGGGCCAATGGTGTGTCGATTTTGTTTATTTTTTCAAAGAACCAGCTCCTGGTTTTGTTGATCTTTTGTTTTGTTTTTTTTTTTTGGTTTCAATTCTGTTTATTTCTTCTCTGATCTTTAGTATTTCTTTCCTCCTTTTGGATTTGGGCTTGATTTGCTGCTGTTTTTCTAGTTCCTTGAGGTGCATGGAGAGTTCATTTGTTTGGTTCCTTTCCAGCTTCTTGATGTAGGCACTAATTGCTATAAACTTTCCTCTTAGCACTGCTTTTGCTGTGTCCCACAGGTTTTGATAGGTTGTGTTATCATTTTCATTTGTTTCTAGAAATCTTTTGATTTCTCTTTTAATTTCTTCGATGACCCACTGTTCATTTAGGATTATGTTGTCCATTCTCCATATATTTGCATATGGTGTAGAGATTCTTGGGTTGTTGATTTCAAGTTTCACTGCACTATGGTCTGAGAAGCTGCATGGTATAGTTTCAATTTTTTTGAACTTGTTGAGGCTCCCTTTATGGCCTAGTATATGGTCAATCCTAGAGAATGTTCCATGTACTGGGGAGAAATACGTGAACTCTGTGTCTGTGGGGTGGAGGGTTCTGAAGATATCTATTAGGTCTATTTGGTCTATGGCGTCAATTAGCTCAGTTGTTTCATTGTTGAATTTCTGTCTGGTTGATCTGTCCATTGGTGAGAGTGGGGTGTTGAAGTCCCCTGCTACTATTGTATTTGAGTCTATATCTCCCTTTAAATCCTTTAGTAATTCTTTCAGGTAGCCAGGCGCCCTGTAATTAGGTGCGTATACATTTATAATAGTAATGTCTTCCTGTTGGATAGATCCTTTAATCATTATATAGTGCCCTTCTCTGTCTCTTTTAATAGTTTTTATGTTAAAGTCTATTTTGTCTGATATTAGGATGGCCACACCAGCTCTTTTTTGATTTCCATTAGCTTGGAGTATCTTTTTCCATCCTTTCACTTTCAGTCTGCGTGCACCTTTGCTGATGAGGTGTGTCTCCTGAAGGCAGCATATAGTTGGATCCTCTTGTTTTATCCAATCCGCTAGTCTGTGCCTCTTTGTCATGGAATTAAGACCATTCACATTCAGTGTGATTACTGTTAAGTACTGTCTTTTTCCCTTCATGTTTCCTGAAACGAGCTGTTTACGTATTTTGAACTTTGTTTGTGGGTTACTCTACATTCGCTTTTTTTTTGCAGTGAAGTTCTTGTTTTTGTATTTCTGTGTGCAGCACGTCTTTGAGCAAGTGTTGTAGGGTTGGACGCATGGATACAAATTCTTTCAGTTTCTGTTTGTCGTGGAAGATCTTTATTTCCCCTTCATTCACAAATGATAGCTTTGCAGGATATAGTATTCTAGGTTGGCATTGTTTGTCTTTTAAAACTTGGAATATATCATGCCATTGTCTCCTTGCCTGTAGTGTTTGCGATGAGAAGTCTGGGGTGAGTCTGATTGACTTACCCCTGAATGTGATTTGTCGCTTTTCTCTGGCACATTTTAGGATTTGTTCTTTGTGTGTCACTGAACTGAGTGTTGCCACAATGTGTCGTGGTGAATTTCTCTTCTGGTCTACTCTGTTCGGGGTCCTGGTTATCTGTTGTATTTGTGTGTTGTTATCCAGCTGCCTTTGTTTAAAGTTTTCTGATATTATTTCATTGAAGACACCTTCTAATCCATTCTCTCTTTCCACCCCCTCAGGGACTCCTATTATCCAAACATTACACCGTTTGATTGAATCTTGTAGGTCTCCGACCGTGTTTTTTAATTTTTTAATTTCTTCTTCCTGCGATTGAACTGACTGTATTATTTCTGGAAGTTTGTCTTCGAATTCTGATATTCGGTCTTCTATTTCATCTGTTCGATTTCCGAGGGATTCCACGGTGTTTTTTATATGGTCAATTGAATTTTTCAGTTCTAGTATCTCATTCTGGCTTCTCTTTAAGATCTCTAATCCTTGGGCTTGTTTTTCATTCAGCTCTTGACACTGTTTCTCATTATTTCTAAGTATTCTGATTATTAATTTTCTGAATTCTTTTTCTGGCATGTTTTCAACTTCTTCTTCTTCTGCCTCTGTTGGTTTAGCCTGCTCCATTGGCAAATTTATATTATCTTCTATATTTTTTTGGTTTTTGGTTTTGTTTTTTGGCATTCCGTCTGGGTGATTTTTCGGGTTGATTTCCCTCTACTATAGGCTGCTGTGAGTCTCTACCAATATCCAGTGTAACCAGGCTGCTCTACACAGCCCACAGGTAAACAGACAGGATGGCTGCTCTCTGCCCACTGCAGCTCTGGATCCTGTGCTTTTTCCCCACCAGGAGGCACTATTCAGTAACTTGAGTAGTCGGGTCTCAGGGCTTCGGGCTGCCCTCCCTCGAGCACCCTCAGCTCCACCTTTGGGCTCCGCCTCCGAAGGTTAGTGTGGAGGCAAAGATAGTTCTCCTTTAAGCCCGAATGTAAACAAACAAAATGGCTGCTTCCCGCCCGCTGGAGCTCCGGGGAGGCGCCAAGAGATACTGGCTTACTCAGTCTCTCAATTAGTGTCCCTGAATCGTGCACTCTCTCCGCCGGCGCCACTCACTCTGTTCCGTTTTCTATTTCCTCCCCCACTCAGTTGTGCATGTCTCAGTGTCCGTCCCAGGATGTGTTGGGGGAGGGTCGGCGGCAGCTGTGCCGTGGTGCTGGGCGAGCGCCCCGTCTCACCTCAGCTTCCAGCGCTGGTGCGTACACGCTCCTGCTGGTGTCCTGAGTCTCAGGCGTCCGCGTCCTCCTCACGTGTCCACCCTAACACCCCAGTTTGAGGAAGGGCTTAAAAACTACAAATTTTCATCCCTCTTTGAACCTTCCCTTAGTGGAGCTTCGCTGTGCTCCCTCCCTCAAAAGTAAATAAAGTTTAAAAATCCAGGTCAAGTAGAAAGCAAATACTAAAATATTAGATATATCCAAAATACATTAATAATTAAATTTCTGTGTACTACATGAAAAATTATAGGGCAGTGATTTATCAGAGGAAATTAAATAAAAGAAATGTCAAATATATGTTCGAGATCAAGAGGTTCCTAAAATATAAGAATATGGCCAGTACCGCAGCTCACTAGGCTAATCTTCCGCCTGCGGCACCAGCACCCTGGGTTCTAGTCCCAGTTGGGGCGCCAGATTCTGTCCCGGTTGCTCCTCTTCCATTCCAGCTCTCTCCTGTGGCCCAGGGAGGCAGTGGAGGATGGTCCAAGTGCTTGGGCCCAGCACCCGCATGTGAGACCAGGAGAAGCACCTGGCTCCTGGCTTCAGATCAGCACAGCGCGCCGGCCATGGCGGCCATTTGGGGGGCTGAACCAATGGAAGGAAGACCTTTCTCTCTCTCTCTCTCTCACTATCTAACTCTGCCTGCCAAAAAAAAAAATATATATATATATATAAAAGAATATAAAATGTGAAACATAAAAGGATAAAAAATGATATACCGTAAGTGCTAAAATAAGAAAGTTGATTATATCAGACATTGTTGAGTTTAATGCAAAATATTTCATTAGTGATAAAAAGAGGCCTTTCATAACTATGAAATATTTTCCATTTCCCTGAAATCGACTCTCAGAGATTTGGAAAGGATTAAAATATTAAAATTAATGTTAATATTGAAAATTATGCTGAAGATCAATAATAAAAAGTCAACTAAAAACCCAACTCTTTCAAATTAAGCAGTATATTTCTAAATATCATGGATAGGTCAATGAATTCACAATAAAAACTTGAAAATATTTTCAACTGATTAGTAATTTTTTACCTAATTAATAATGAAAATAACATCAAAACTTGTGGGCTGCAGTTAAGTCCATTCTTAGAGGGCAATCTATAATCTTAAGTGTATGTGTTAGAAAAGAACAAAGTCTTGGGGCTGTGGCTGTGGCGCAGTTGGTTAACACCCTGGCCTGAAGCGCTGGCATCCCATATGGGCACCAGTTCGAGACTTGGCTGCTTCACTTCCAATCCAGCTCTCTGCTATTGCCTGGGAAAGCAGTAGAAGATGGCCCAAGTCCTTGGGCCCCTGCACCCACATGGAAGACCTGGAAGAAGCTCCTGGCTCCTGGCTTCAGATCTGTGCAGCTCTAGCTGTTGTGGCCAATTAGAGAGTGGACCATTGGATGGAAGACTCTCTCTCTCTCTTCTTCTCTCTCTGTGTAACTCTGACTATCATATAAATAAATAAATCTTAAAAAAAAAAGAAAAGAAAAGAAAAGAACAAAGTCTAAAAATCAGTGATCCCTAAGATTTGGCTGAAGAGGTCAGAAAAAAGATTGAAACTCAATTCAGAATCATAATACACTGGGGAGATTCAGGCACCCTGGGAAGACGCAGAAGGCCTTACAGACAGCAAAATTCCACACCCTTTCCCCAAGTGGTTCGGATATAAAATGAGCTGTACTCACATATGGGTAGTACCTGCTTTGTGTTACAGTAAAGAACTTTAAAAATTACCTTTCAAGCTGAAACTGTACAAAGTGATTTTAATAATTCATGGGGGGAAATTATGATTGCTCTATAACCAAAGCACTAAAAGCTAATTTATTGTTGGTTTTAAGTTTCTTGTAAATATATATAACATTTAATTTTCAGTACATTGTACTAAATAAATATTAATCTTATGAATTTTTGCATTTCAATTTACTATTTAAAACTATAAGACTTGATAGATTATGATGTAGGTAATTATATAATGGAAGCAATAAAATATTATGTCACTCTTATAATATCAGAGTACATGTTTCAATAACAGTTAAAAAGCAGATTCATATTAGCAGTATGACATCTATTTTTAATGCAAAATATAAATTTTGCTAGAAAATACATTACAACACTAATAATGCTTTTCTCTGAGGCTTGGTATGTCTTTTCCAAAACTCTTGTTGTATGTCTGTATTGGTCATTTTTTCTCTATTAAGTAAATAATCGGAAAAATAAGTTAAATACTTAAAAATAAAACTCTTTGTATTCTTAATGCTTCTAAGTATTTTTTTAAATTAGGGAATAATTAGCGAACTCTGACCTTTAGAGAGTAATTAAAATTTGTATTTCTAAATGAATCATCTACTTTAAAATATTTGATGAATATTATATTTGATAAATATGTTCTAAAAATTAAGTTGGATTTTTTTCTAGTTTCAAAGGTATTTCTCTAAGGATTTTAGCATGATGGATATTGTTTCTCTTGGATTTTCGCCTTGAGTTGTGTTTATTATAAGTAATATTTTCTGCTTATGATAATATAAACAAATGTTTTCAAGTTTTTCCTGTAGTAGAAGGCTTTTTTTCCCTCTTAGATATGTGTCATTTTTAAGTTAAAACTTTTTCAGACTTTTAAATTGTACCTTTGTGTGTGAGTAAATTTTTTTAATAATAAAAAATGAGATATTTTTTATTTATTTTAATGTTAAAATTAACAACTTTAGGAATTGTGTTCAAGCTTATGCAAATAAATGCTGAAAAATAAACTTTCTAATAGTCTTGGTTTCATAACCAATGATCATTTTGTTTGACTCTGTATATTAACTGGAACTATTAAAAAGTCAAGTGAATTTAACAAAAAGAAGTCAAATGAGTTTTTTGAAACACAGTGAAGAAAATAAATTACAAGATTTAATATACCATTTTCACTTAATTGAGTGCAACTATCATATTTAAAATTTTTTCTGAATGTCCTGTTTTTCAGTTAATTAACATAACATTTAAATTTTATCTGTGAAAATTTAAAATTTCTCTAAGGCAAATTATATTATTCTTTTTTAAAAAAAATTATTCTATTTGAAAATCAGTTACAGTAGGAGAGGGAGAGACACAGAGAGATCTTCCATCTACAGTCTCACTCTCAAAATAGCCACAATCACCAAGACTGAGCCCAGCCAAAGCCAGGATCTTTCTCTAGGTGCCCCCAGAGAAGTGCAGGAGCCCAGGTACTTGGATCATCTTCAGCTGCTTTCTCAGGCATGTTACCAGGGAACCAGACTGGAAGTGGAGCAACTGTAATTGGAACCCAGTGCCCATGTGGATGCCGGCATCTTTACCAGCTGCACTACAGCACCAGCCCCATTATATTTTCTCGAGATAATTCTGTCAACTTAATTCAATTAAGTTTGTTAAATAATTTTTTATTCATATAGTACTGTATTTAATGGTGATTAAATGTGTGTAAGATTTGAATTTACTTAAAAATGATTTTGTGTAAAGAATCACTTTTTACCCAAATATTTATTTAATTGGCCCCAAACAGTAATTACTGTTACTGAAAGGAATTTTGATTGCTATTATATTGTTTATCCCAAAGGTTGCACAGTGAATTAAAGGATGCCATTGAAAAGCAATTGGAGGCCCTTCCCTTTGCTGCAGAGATAGGAAATGACATATATAAAGATGAGGAAACAGTCAAGAACCTTCAAGAACAATTGCAACTAGCCAATCAAGTGAGTGATATATGTATTTTTAAAATACATACTGTATTAGCAGAGCTTTTAAAAATCTGTTAGTCTTTATGTATGATAACAATAACAAAATTGTTAACACTTGGATTTTCTTGTATTTCAAGAATTGTAACATAACAAAACCTATATTGAATACCCTCACTGTTTATTATAAATGTATTTGTGAAATATACATTTTAAGTCAATCATAAAGCTTTTAATGTGATTTTTCTTATAAGAATAGTTTACTGTCAAAGGAAAATTTTAAAGAAAAAATTATCAATTAACCCATGTCCATAAATTCATATTTTTAATTTTTCTTTGCTTCTGGTGCTGTTTTCTTCAGTTTTCAAAAGTTATACTATTATATTTTTCTGAAGTTGTATGCTTTTTTCTAGAATTAGTCTTTTTTTTTCCCCTCTTAGTATTTGAAATCTTTGGGAAGCTGTGTTATGTATAACACAGTTTTCAACACTACAATTTTCTGTGATTTGATAAATAAGGTGATTTGATTTTATTGAACTTTTTTTATATCTTTATATCCAGAATAGCTCATTATCTGGCATGGGTTTGAATCCACATTCTACTTTCTAGGTGTTTCTAGAAAAATCTCTATATGCCTTAGTTTTCTCATTTGTAAATGAAGATTAGAATTATTATTAAAGGATATATGAAAAGTTATATTTTTATTTCTTACAAATTTGGTTTTAGAATTCTTTACTTATGAAAGTGATATTTTAGGTGAATTATAAGGACTATATTTAGCTTGATAAGCAACATGTATTAAACACTAAATTTAAAAAGAACACATGTAAGTGGAAGGAGTTTAATAATGTAAATGAGAGGGTGGACGTTTGGCCTAGCAGTTAAGATAGCAGGTAAGACGCCCTCCTCCCATATCGGAGTACCTGAATTCAGTTCCCACCTCCAGTTCCTATTCCAGCATTTTGCTGATTCAGATCCTGGAAAGCGGATGTGATGGTTCAAGTAGTTGTATCCCTACCATTCATGTGAGACTTGGATTGAATTCTCAGTTCCCAGTTTCTGTTCTACCTCAGCCCTGGATATTGCAGGATTTGAGGAGTAGCCAATAGTTGGGAACCTTACTCTCTCAATTTCTCTCTCTCTCTCTCTCTGTCTCTGTCTTTGTCTCTCTCTGCCTCTCTCTGCCTCTCTCTGTCTTTCTGTCTCTCACTCTCACTCTGTGTGTGTGTGTGTGTTTGTGTGCGTGTGTGTGTCTGCCTATCCAATAAAAATGTTAATTTATTTGAGAGGTAGAGTTACAGAGAGAAGAGAGAGAAAAGGTCTTCCATCCGCTGGTTCATCTCCCAAATGGCCACAACGGCTGGAGCTGAGCCAACCCAAAACCAGGAGCCAGAAGCTTCTTCTGGGTCTCTCACATGGGTTCAGGGGCCAAGCACTTGGGCCATCTTCCACTGCTGTCCCAGTCTGTAAGCCAAGAGCTGAATCAGAAGAAGAGCAGCCGGGACATGAACTGACACCCATATGCGATGCCAGTGCCACAGAAGGTGGCTTAGTCTACTACACCATAGCACTGGACCTTAAATAAAATGTTTTAAAATATATTTCAGGGGCTGGCGCTATGGTGCAGCGAGTTAAAGCCCTAGCCTGAATTGCCAGCATTCCATATGGGCGCCGGTTCTAGTCCTGGCTGCTCCTCTTCTGATCTTTTACTATGGCTTGGGATAGCAGAAGATGGCCCAAGTGCTTGGGCCCCTGCACCCAGATGGGAAACTCGGAAGAGGCTCCTGGCTCCTGGCTCCTGGCTACTGATAGGTGCCGGTCCAGCCGTTGCGGCCAGTTGGGGAGTAAACCAGCGGATAGAAGACCTCTCTGTCTCTACCTCTCTCTGTAACTCTTTCAAATAAATAAAATAAATCTTTAAAAAAATATATATATATATATTTCAAAATCAAACAATGGAAGAGAAAAAAAAATGCAATGTCCTTATTGTAAACATAAATTTTACCTCAAGTTTCTCTGCAAGGACGTTGATAACCCTAAGGCTTCCCATACAAGAGTTTGATGATACTGTGTTAAAAAAAAAGTTAATAACCAAAGAAAATTCTCATTGTAAAATATTAAGTGAAAATCATACAATACAAATAATGTATTATATGATTCTTAATTTTATAAATAGAAAAAAATTATGATTATTTTCCCCAGGAATCACATTTATTGCCTTGAATATGCACAGTATTGAAAAATCAGATTATATCTAGATGTTAGTGATATTTATTTTCAGATGATAAAATTATGAATGATTTTTATTTCCACCTCTGTTTTCCTATATTTATCTAATTTTCCACAACTAACATTACTTTGCCAATCAGAAAAAAATACTTTTTTATTCACAAGTCATTTCTTCCTTAATTTATACCTTCTTTAGTACTAGTAGAGTGATTTTTATCTATGTTAAGGCTTTAAATTTTAACATGGAATATGACTAAAAGTCGTTTTTTGTCTTTAGGATTATTCTCTAAATATTATAAATAAAATTTCATATGGTCAAAAGTATTATAACTATAATACAATCATATAACACAACAACAATTAGATCACAGTGGTCATATAAGGTTATATTTCCTAGTAATGCCATGGATGTCTTAGGCTGTGTAAGTGTACTTTGTGATGTTTACACAATGACAAAATTGTCTAATGACATATTTCTCAGAGTATATCCCTATCATTGAATAAAGTATGATTGTACCGTTCTGTTTTTATTTTGTGAATTTATAAGAAATCATCCTATAAAATAATATCCATTTGTTTTATGCAATAATTAGCCAGCAATTTATTTAAGAGGTGTCAAATATTTTTTTTAAAGGAAAAAACTCAGGCTATAGAACTCTGGCAAACTGTTTCTCAGGAGCTGGACAGATTGCAGAAACTTTATCAGGAATATATGACTGAGGCCCAGATTCATGTGTTTGAGAGTCAGAAACAAAAGGTAATTTTGGATTTTATGGATTTTTTTTAATATTTCAATAAAAAATTGCATTCTTAAAAAGCTGTTTTGTATAGGAATGCTAAGACTCTATTGTCTTATTTATGTTAACAATAGATTTCTGATAATTAGATATGCTTTGAACAGGTAATATGTTTAAAATGCTGCACATTTGGTTTTATAATGTAATTAACACAGAAAGCTATGCTTACTTCTAAGAAGTAGTTATGAGATTATTTTGTATAAATAGACACACAAAGCTTTTATTTGCTTGAGTTTCTACTGGCTTTAAACAAAACAAAACTGTTCATCAAGTCATGGCCAGTGAAGAAGCCTCTCAAATACAGTGACAACACTTTTTAAAATTGAAAAGTTAATGCTCTTAAATGTAACATAATACTACAATAGATCAAATTATCTTTGTTTACCAGAGATTAATCAGAATAAAATTTTTTACTGTAGGAAGAGATCTCAGTGGCTATTAAAGACTTTCCATCCAAAGCAAAAATCATTTTAAATTTGTTAAAATTGAACATCTCTTTGCTTTGTACTTCTGTTGATAAGAAACTCACTTTTTTTCCAATATCATCCATCCCACTGGATAATCTACCTTCTTAATGCTTCTTTTGGTTCTTTTATTATTACATGCATGGAGCACTATAAAGAAGTTCAGATTGTGACCTCTTTTCTGTATTTCTTGAGAGGCAGCTATTTTTTTATTTTATTTAAGTTATACGAATTTCATGTATTTCATGTATACAGATTTGGGAACATAGTGATACTTCCCACTCTACCCTCCTTCCCACCCCCATCCCACCATTACTCATCATTACTTTCATATGCCCTCAGTTAATTTTTAAAATTATCTGCTTTGTTTACTTTATGCTCATAAAATTAAGCCTACACCAAATAATGAGTTTAACAAATAGTATGAAGAAAAAAGAACATTGTTCCTCAACTGTAGAGAAATGAGCTGTTAGTAGTCATCAAGCTCAAAATGTCAACTTCACTTCAAAGAGTACATTTTAGGTACTCTATTATTTACCACATCAGGGAAAACATAAAGTATTTGTCTTTTTGGTACTGGCTTATTTTATTAAGTATAATGGTTTCCATTTGCTTCCATTTTGTTGTAAAAGATAGCATTTCATTCTCTTCATGGCAGAGTAGTATTCCATAGTGTATGTATACCATAATTACTTTATCCAGTCATCATCTGATGGACATCAGGGTTGATTTGATATCTTACATAATATGAATTGAGCTGCAGTGAACATTCTTTCATATGCTGATTTCATTTCCCTTAGATAAACTCCCAGGAGTGTTATTGCTGGCTCATATGGTAGATCCATTTTCAATTTTCTGAGGTGTCTCCATACTGTCTTCCACAACCTGTACTAACTTACATCCTCACCAAGAGTTGATTAGGGTACCTTTTTATCCACATCTTCACCAGCATTTAATGTTTGTTGGTTTCTGTATGAAAACCATTCTAAGTAGGTTGAGGTGAAACCTCATTGTGATATTGATTGCATTTTCCTAGTAACTAGTGATCCTGAGCATGTTTTCACATCTCTGTTGGCCATTTGAATTTCTTCTTTTGAAAAATGTCTGTTCAAGTCCTTTGACCATTTCTTAACTAAATCGTTTTTGTTGTAGTTTTATGAGTTCTTTACAGATTCTGGATAATAAACATTCATCAGTTGCATAGTTTGAAAATATTCTCTCCTGGGGTCAGCGCCATGGCTCACTTGGTTAATTCTCTGCCTGCAGCGCCAGCATCCCATATGGGTACCGGGTTCTAGTCCCGGTTGCTCCTCTCCCAGTCCAGCTCTCTGCTGTGGATTGGGAGGACAGTGAAGGATGGCCCAAGTCCTTGGGCCCTGCACCCACATGGGAGACATGGAGGAAGCACCTGGCTCCTGGCTTCAGATCGGTGTAGCTCCAGCCGTAGCAGCCATTTGGGGGTTGAACCAACGGAAGGAAGGCCTTTCTCTCTGCCTCTCTCTCTCACTGTCTAACTCTATCTGTCAAATTAAAAAAAAAAAAAAAAAGAAAAGAAAATATTTTCTCCTATTCTTTCAGTTTCCTCTTCACTTTACTGAGTGTTTCTGTAGCACAACAGAAGCTTCTCACCTTGATATAATCCCATTTGTCAATTTTGGCTTTGATTGCCTGTGCTTCTGGAGTCTCTTCCAAGAAGTCTTTGCCTATGCCAGTGACTAAAAGAGTTCCCCCTTTGTTCTCCTCTGGTAAATTGATGGTATCAGTTCATAGACTTAGATCAGTGATCCATTTTTAGTTGCTTTTTTATAAGGTGTAAGGTAGGGGTCTTGTTTCATGCTTCTGGATGCAGAGATGCAATTTTCCCACACCATTTGTTGACAAGACTGTCATTTCTCCAGGGACTTTTTAGATCCTTTCTCAAAGAATAATTGGTTGTAAATGCATGGATTGAATTCTGGAGTTTCTGTTCTGTTTCATTGGATACATGTTGATATTGTGCTAATACAAATAATTGCCCTATTGCATTTCTTGAAATCTGATACTGTGATGCCTATGGCTTTGTTTTTGTTGAATAAGACTGCTTTAGATATTCAAGTCTCCTGTATTTCCATATAAATTTTAGCATCATTTTTTCTGTATGTTATAAAAATGTCATTTGTATTTTGATTGGAATCACATTGAATCTGTAAATTCCTCAGGAAGTATGGACATTTTGATGATTTTAAATCTTCTGGCCAAGAGTATGACCTGGCGTATGGTCTATCATAGAGAACATTCCATGGATTGATGAAAAGAATGCTTATTCTTCATTGTGGGATTAAAAGTTCTGTAGATATCAGTTAGGGGATTGGATTAAGATGGCAGAGTAGGAAGGGAGCTTACTGCTCTAGACTAGGAGAAGATAGTTTAAAAAAGTGGAGAGAGTGCAGTATCAAAGTAGAGTTAGAGAAAAATGGCAGAGGAAACTCCAGGAAAATTTAGAGGGACACAGCAGACCTACATGGAGAATGTAGACATGCCCAGTGGCCGAGAGCCTCCACACCAGCTTTGGAGAGTGAGGTGAGACCAAACTGCAGCAGTCCAAGCCATTGGCAATAAAGCTGCAAGAAAAGCCTACAGAGAATCTGGCTTACAGCCCTGTAGGCAGTGGTGTACCCACCGAACTAGAGGGGGAAAAAGGGAGGGGCACAATTTGTGCTCTTTGATCACCTTGCAACAGCATCCTGTAACAAGCCGATACAGAGCGGGTGCCATTTTGGACATATGTAACAGTTGTGCCAGCACATGCCCACTCTCAGCAACAAACCAAGCAGAGACTCCTGAGTTTCATGGGGAGAATTGACAGGCAGCTGGGTGCTCCTGACTCTCTGAGGCTTGTTTGATGAGACTGTGAAAACCCTGAAGCTGCGGGACTGTGAAAATGCTAAGGCTGGGGCCAGCTCTCTGTCATAGTGAGTAATGCCACTGCCTGCAGTGCCAGCATCCCATATGGGCGCCAGTTTGAGTACTGGCTGCTCCACTTATGATCAAGTTCTATGCTATGGCCTGGGAAAGCAGTAGAAGATGGCCCAAGTGCTTGGGCCTCTGCACCCATATGGGTGGAAGAAATTCCTGGCTCCTGGCTTCAGACCGGCACAGTTCTGGCCATTGTGGCCATCTGGGGAATGAACCAGCAGATGAAGACCTCTCTCTCTCTCTTTTTCTCTCTCTCTACCTCTCCTTATCTCTCTGTGTAACTCAGAATTTCAAATAAATAGAAAAAATCTTTAAAAAAAAGAAAGAAAATGCTGAGGCTGCATGGAAAGGCTCAGGGCGTGGCTGGAACTTTTGGCAATCATTGTGGGAGGCTCCACAACTCAGGGCTTCTGGTTCCCTGGTGAGGGACATTGCTAGGGAATCTCTGCATACACTGAGGACTGCACAGATCCTTTGTGTGGTCCTGAGGCATCACAGACAAATATTATACCCACTGATGCTAGCACCCAGGCATTGGTGTCCTTTGAGGAGAGAAAGTGAGCTGAGTCTCTGCCAACAGATCAGAACAAGCATTTCCTATGATTAAAACAAAAAGTAAAGAAAAAGATTTATCATGCCCATTCTGGGTGTCACCTTAACACTCCCTTCACCCTGGAATACTGAATAGAGCTCTATGGCCACACCCACTACACACCTCAATGTATTCTCTGAAAGAAGACAGTCCACTAATCCACACAGACATTGTCCAAAGATAAAAGCCGCCACAGCAACAAAGAATAAACCAATGAGTATCTCCACAAATACTGAATAATAAATGTACCAATTCAAGAAAAAAGAATAAGGAACACAACATGACACCTCCAAAAGTATACAACATTGTGAAGATAAAGAGATTAAAGAAATGACAGAAGGAGAATTCAATAAATTGATTGTAGGATTACTTAGAAGTAATCAGAAGCAAATGCACAAACTAATGAAATTGGTACATGACATGAAAGAAAATTTCTCCCATGAAAGTGAGATCTTAAAGAGAAATCAGCATGAAATCTTGGAAATGAAGAATTCAGTAGAACAAATACAAAATGCAAAGGAAAGCCTTAACAGAATCAGTGAAGCAGAAGAAAAAATATCTGACTTTGAAGACAAATTGAAGGAGATTATACAGTCAGAGAAAAAACAAGAAGAAATTAGAAAACTAAAAAACACTGTTGGGAATCTATATGTTACTGAAAAACAGCCTAACATACAGGTTCTAGGAGTTCCTGAAGCTGTGGAAAGAGACGAAGGATTAGAAGGCCTATGTAGTGAAATAACTACAAAAAACTTCCCTAATTTGGAGAAAGAAAGGGACATTCAAGTACACAAAGCACGTAGAACTCCTAATAGACATGACCAGAAATGATCTTTACCACACAGATTGTAATCAGACTCTCCACAGTAAAATATAAAGAAAAGTTTCTAAAATGTTAACAACAGACAAAGAAGGGAACTATGTAATTATTAAGGGATCAACTCAATAG